TATTTAATAAATGGTATGGGAAAACTGGCGTAGCCATATGCCTAGAAAGCTGAAACTGCGATCCCTTTCTTGCACCTGCTATAGTAAAAATTAATTCAGGATGGATTAGAGCACTTAAATGTTAGACCTAAAACCATAAAAGGCCCAGAAGAATACCTAGGCTAATACCATTCAGGACATAGGCATGGCAAGTACTTCAATGACTAAAAACACGGAAAAGCAATGGCAACAAAAAGTCAAAAGTGAACCAGTGGGATCTAAGCTAAGACCTAAAGAACTTCTGCCACAGCAAAAAAAAAAAAAAAAAAAGCTACCATCAGAGCTGAAGCAGGCAAACGTACCAAATGGGGAGAAAATTTTTGCAATCTACCCATCTGACAAAGGCGGGTAATATCCAGAATCTACAAAGAACTTAAAACAAATTTATAAGAACAAAACACCCCACCAAAAGTGGGCATAGAATATGAGCAGACACCTCTCAAAAGAAGACATTTATACAGTCAAACAGCACATGAAAAAATGCTTATCATCACTGGTTATCAGAGAAATGCAAATCAAAACGCCCCAATGAGATACCATCTCACACCAGTTAGAATGGCAATCATTAAAAAGTCAGGAAACAACAGGTGCTGGAGAGGATGTGGAGAAACAGGAATGCTTTTACACTGCTGGTGGGAGTGTAAACTGGTTCAACCATTGTGAAAGACAGTGTGGCGATTCCTCAAGGATCTAGAACTAGAAATACCATTTGACCCAGTGATCCTGTTACTGGTTATAAGAATTATAAATCATGCTGCTATAAAGACAAATGCATACGTATGTTTATTGTGGCACTATTCACAACAGCAAAGACTTGGGACCAACCCAAATGTCCATCAGTGATATACTGGATTAAGAAAATGTGGCACATATACACCATGAAATACTATGCAGCCATAAAAAAGGATGAGTTCATGTCCTTTGCAGGGATATGAATGAAGCCGGAAACCATCATTCTGAGCAAACTCTCACAAGGACAGAAAACCAAACACTGCATGTTCTCACTCATAGGTGGGAATTAAACAATGAAAACACTTGGACACAGGGCAGGGAACATCACACCCCAGGGCCTGTCATGGGGTGTGGGACAGGGGGTGGGATAGCATTAGGAAAAATACCCAATGTAAATGACAAGTTAATGGGTACAGCAAACCAACATGGCACATGTATATGTATGTAACAAACCCACACATTGTGCACGTGTACCCTGGAACTTAAAGTTTAATAAAAAAAAAAAAAAATAGAAAATCCCAACTCAAACTAGCTTAAGCAAAGAAAGAAAATTGTTGGCTCATGTACATAGGAAACTAAAGAGGTGGCTGTTTTTAATAGCTGGTTTTAGGGATTCAAATGTCATCACCAGGAATCTCACCTTCTGTCTCTTTCCACCTCTTATGTCTGCTTTCATGTCTTTCGGCTTCATCTCAATGGGGGAGGTTTGCATTTTTCCTAAAGCTAGCAATCCAGGAGAATGGTGCTCTGCTTGCTTTCTTCATCAGGACTCTGATTTACCCATCTCTGTATGTGGAAGAATAGGGCATTTTGATTGGCTAGCCTTGTAGATATTCATTTCCACGCCTTGAAGGCAAGGCCACATAATTGACAGACCCATCAGAATCAGTTCTGAAAAAGAGGGATGAAGGACAGACGAAAAAAAAAAAGAAAAGAAAAGAAAAGAAAAGCCTTGTGGTGTGCTTTTTCAGTAACATATTCACATACAATTTTGCTTATATAAGCAGTTTTTCAGAAAATAGCAAAAATCAAAATGCTTTGCAACAAACCAGCATTTGTTTTCTTTTCTTTTCTTTTCTTTTTTTTTTTTTTGAGACAGAGTCTCGCTCTGTTGACCACGCTGGAGTGCAGTGGCACGATCCCTGCAAGTTCCACCTCCTGGGTTCACGCCATTCTTCTGCCTCAGCCTCCTGAGTAGCTGGGACTACAGGCACCCACTACCGCACCCGGCTAATTTTTTTTTTTTTTTTTTTTGTATTTTTAGTAGAGACAGGGTTTCACCATGTTATCCAGGATGGTCTCTATCTCCTAACCTCGTGATCCGCCCGCCTCGGCCTCCCAAAATGCTGGGATTACAGGTGTGAGCCAGCGCGCCTGGCCCATTTTTTTCATTCTTAAACAGTATTATACCAATTATAGACTTAGATTCATATTTTTTTTCTTTCTTTAGGCTCTCATCTGTTAATTTCTAAGGGAATTTCACATTTAATAATTGCTATATGGTCTAGAATAACATGATGACAAGTAAGTTGTAGTTAATACCCAGCCTCTACTTGTAATCTAGTAGACTTTTACATTTAAAATTAAATAACATTCTTTATCATTTTTAGCTGAAAATGACAAAAATAGGAGCAGAAGATCACAGAGAAGCACTATTTCAGTCTTCCTTATCCCCCTTGACTAAAACAATGGAAGTATTACAGCAAAGTTGTCCTGAAGACACCTTGGATGGGAATACTGTAAACCCAATTTACAAATATATTTTGAACGATTTACCAAGGTAAGAACATTACTTAAGCAGCTTAAACTAAATACTGAAGAGGATCAAAGTGTTTCTAGAAAATAGTTTAAATGTTTAATCAGTCTTGGCTGGGCAAGGTGGCTCATGCCTGTAATCCCAGCACTTTGGGAGGCCTAGGCAGGTGGATTACTTGAGGTCAGGAGTTCGAGACCAGCCTGGCCAACATGGTGAAACCCCATCTCTACTAAAAATACAAAAAAATTAGCCACACATGATCACGAGCACCTGTAATCTTAGTTACTGGGGAGGCAGAGGCAGGAGAATCTCTTGATCCTAGGAAGTGGAGGTTGCAGTGAGGTGAGATCATGCCACTTGACTCTACCCTGGGTGACAGAGTGAGACTCTGTCTAAAAAAAAAAAAAAAAAAAAATTGAGTACAAGTGATATAAATAAGTAACTTTGAGATGTGTTGAGTTATGGAGGTTGTTGCTTAGAGTAGAGCCCTTCCTTTTTTCTACTTTATGGGAAGAAAAAATGTACATGATGCAGTAAACGTAAATTATCTCTGGGATCTGACTTGAACAGGTAGCATAATGATAATAACGATAATGGCAGGTAGTACTTGTTAAGTGCCAGTCACTATGCTTAGCACTTAACCTGCATTATATCAATTTTGTTCTGAAAACAATTCTAGAGGCTGGGTGTGGTTGTTCACGCCTGTAATCCCAGCACTTTGGGAGGCCAAGGTGGGCAGATCACCTGAGGTCGGGAGTTTGAGACCAGCCTGACCAACATGGTGAAACCCCGTCTCTACTAAAAATACAAAAAAATAGCAGGGCTTGGTGGCGTATGCTCATAATCCCAGTTACTTGGGAGGCTGAGGCAGGAGAATCTCTTGAACCCAGGACTTGCGGTCAGCCAAGATCACGCCATTGCACTCCAGCCTGGGCAAAAAGAGTGAAACTCTGTCTAAAAAACAAACCAAAACAAACCAAAACAAAAAAAACACCACTAGGAGGAATATAAGACAGACGGTAGTCTCATTACCTTTGTTTTACCTATGAGGTAACAAAGGCAGAGAGAGGTTGATTAACTTGACTAAGCTCACACAACTAGTAAGTAGTAGTAAAGAAGGTATGATATGAATTCAAATGGATCTAACACTACAGCATTTATCAGAAATATAAAGCAGAGGAGACAGGGGTATTCTTCCTGTGCTTTTCTCTGTTAGAAAGTGAAAGAACTCAAAGGTATTTGTCATACATTGATAAACTATTGGCTGGCTAAGTGTGATGCCATAGTCTTTATGTTAAGTAGAAAACTGAGACTGTAAGAAAATCAATACATTATAAATTAAGGATTATGTTAATCTTCTTATGGAAATCCTAGATCATATTTATTTCCTAGATCAGTTTGAGTGTTTGCTTATTTGTGTGTGTGTGTCACTAGGTTAAGATGAAAGTGAAACCTTGACTTTCAGCTAATTTGTTTTGCTTTATTCCTCTCAGCTATAAGTGCATATTAGTAGTGTATGAGATCCTTTATACAATGCAACTTTAAAAAAAATGAATACCCGGTGTGTTATTTTAGGGACATAAGTCACTCATGACTTATTAGAAAAAGAATTCTAAATAGGATTAAATGTTCCTTTATACAAATGCCAATTCTAATATCATGTGTACTTGCACATATTTTTATTGCCTTTAATATTTATTTATTTCCAATTTGCTACTTCAAAATGGTGATACATTCACTTTTTATTCTAACTACTTTTGTGCATTTTTAGCTACTTTATTTTTTTCTGGTAAAGCTAAATGTGTTTTCACTTATTCAGTCTGTTCCTGCTTTTTTCCTATTTGCTTTCTTTGATTGTTAGTCAGTTTAACACTGGCTTTATTTGTCCTTTTCATTATATGTCAGTCTTTCTTCTCATGTGACACTTTCCTACTGCCTGTTTTTTACAGTTTCTGTTTCATTGTGCTTCTTTTGTTTCTTTGTTTGAATCCTAACTTCTTTTCTGTCACTATTGCCTGTTACCATCAACTTTGATTATGATAAACCAAGAAAATGAAGTAACCCTCTTCTTGGCAATCAAATGGAAAGCTGTAGACAATGCTCAGAGGTCTTTTACCTTCATGAAAAAGAAAATGATGAGTTTCAACCTGAAAGGGGTCAAGTTCATAAAGGCTAATGGTAATTTAAGAGTCATTGGTATTAATATGATTATCAGAGAGAGGCAATTTTCTCTATGAGTAAGGACATTTACCTCCTGATTGAGGTTAAAACTTCTTTTGTCTCATTCTTGTTTTCCTTGCCACCTTTCTTCTACCATCTTTGTGGTCTTTTTATGAGAAGTAATCATTAAAATATAGTCAATTTATTTTTCCTACTTGTATTACAGAGATTGTGCTTTCTTCATTAATTAATACATTGTACTTTTTACAAAATATGCCTACATATATATGTATATATATTAAGTCCATTCAAAGTAGCCATACAGTGGCCACTTTATTTTCTTGTTATTATCTGATGCTATCACTTTGCTTTTCGTTATATTTACATTATCACTCTCCTTCCCTCTGTTCTTCCTTTCCATGTGTTTCCTCTGCTGTCACTCCATGCTGCATTTGCTTATAACAGAGTGAAAACCTCTGTGCCAGGACATGCCCCCTCACAAGAAAACTAACACCAACATTATAAATGTTTTCAGCTTATTATGTCAGAGGTTTCATCCTCTCATTTTTGACTCACCATTTGGAGGTCATGTGAATAAAAAAAATATTGCCTCATTTCTGTGGCTCCTTCCAGGAAAGTAGCACAATAGTAAACTTTTCCTGCTCAGCTGTAGTCTGATGCATTCCCAGGTGACCCAGAATCGGGAAATAGTCTTGGAGACATGGATGTCTTGGAGACATGGATGACTTGGAGACATGGATGACAAAATCAGTTATTTTTTAGTAACAGGTATCCAGGCATAGTTTCACCATGTTCATATCCAGCGCTCCAAATGCTGAAGTGGAAGATCTCCAAATTACGATTCCATTTTTGCATTAGGAGAATGTTGTAAACGATTAGTGAATTTTTCCATCTCACATGTAAAATATGTTGTTTTAATGATTTTCAGCCAATGATCATCTAAGGGATGTGATTTAATGATTTTTATAATGAGAAGTTATAGTATTTTTTATCCTGCTGGCAGCTCAGTAGTAGTAAAGAAGGTATGATATGAACTCAAATGGATCTAACACTACAGCATTTATCAGAAATATAAAGCATTACCAACCCTTACAATTCCCTGAGGAGGAAAATTACTTTTAGTAAATTAAATGAGAACTGAAATCAGTTTTTAAAAAGTAAATACTAACCATTTTTGTTGTTGTTGTACATTATCAAGGCTACTTTTTCACAAGCAAATCTTGCTTTCAAGGATACTAACAAACACCTAATCTATTCAGTCACTGTTTAAGTCATTTATCTTGGGTACTTTTTACTTGGAATGAATCTTAGATCGTTTTTGAAATATAGACATTTAGAACCATTGCCTTTTCTATGGACAGTTTAAGTTTAGCAACTTCATCATTCCAAAAATGAACTGTCGATTCCCGCCATGGAATGAGTGGTAGACGGGAATGAGAGGAAACAATAGTAAATGAAGCATGCTAACACCTTCACTGTTTTAGACTCATGCTACTACCCAACAAATTATACTTTCTCCAGTTCATAATCTTTTTCCAGATTTTTTCCTTCAAGCCTTTAAAAATATTTCTGCAGATCTCCATATAAATATATTTTCTTTATAAAATCTTAAAAGACTAGATCATTGTTTCTTTTTGAAAATTTTCTTCTGGAAAAGTTGTATATAATATTTATAAACCCTCAGTTTTAAATTTCACATATGCCTTATTTTTATTCCGGTGTACTTTTATACAAGTAAAAAAACTTTTTTTTCCTTTGGGTGGAATGATTTATGCCCCTGATGCTATGCTCAGATGTGTCTTTATGAATTTTGGAAATTGTTCTTCTTCTTTAGAAGTTTTTCTTCTGCAAAAGTAAACAAGTTTAACTTAACAAACACTTATTGAATATCTTCTATGTAGTATATATGTAGTTTGAACATAACATTTTGGTTATTATTCAATCATTGAGTTGAAAGTAAAAATTTGTTATGTGTTATAAAATATCCTGAAATTGCTCCGCAGTTGGAAAAACCCTTATAAACATTTTTAGGCCAAATTAGAATTGCATTTTCTTCTGGAATTGGAAGTAAAACTTGTGGGGAATTTTTTACTTTTATTACTCATTTTCTATGATGTCTAAATTGTATTTTATCAGAGAATCTAGCAATTGGAGAAAGTTATTTGTATCTTTGGAAGTTTAAGCAAGTTGGAGAAAGGGCAGGATGAAGTTTAATAAAATCTTTGTGCTTTGTGTGCTTAAGAAATTTTATAAAAGCTTGCATTCACCAAACATAAGTAGGGTTATTTCTTTTATTGATTGTATTCCAGTATTTTAAACTGATGGTTCATTATTGAACATACTTATGGTCATTTCGCTTTATGTTTATATTTTATTTGTATATATTTCAATTTGAGAGCTTAATTACCATTAAAATGGTACTCTAATAAAGGTAAGTTTTACAAATGATAATATTAAAAGAAACTCTTCAGGAAGGTTTAAATGCCATAAGAATTTAAAGCAAGAAATATATGCTTGTCAGGTATACAGTATAAATAAATAATTTAGATTAAAATGGTTGACTACATTTAACAAAGAGACTACCAAATAATGAAGGGCTAAAGAGTGGTTGTTAGATTTGATGTACTTCATTTCATATTGTAAGTAATTGCTATCCATAAAAATTCTATGGCTTCTGTATAAGAAAAAGAGACATTTTGACAGGCAACACTAGTATGAAGAGACAGCAAGTACAAATCCTTGGCAACTGTCATTTCATTATCCTGCTGTTGAATTCACATCCAAATTATGTGATAACTTAGACCTGCATGTTTGTTTTGGAGCCACGGTCTGTCAAAGTAGCC